GCATACAAACACATGCATAAACACACGCACGCATGCACACACACACACACACACATACACACGCACTCACTCACCCATACACACACACACGCAGCCTCCAGGCTAGTACAGCGGTAACGTGCCGTCCTCTCACCCGAGGGGTCGGCGGTTCGTGCCGTCCGGGCGCGAGAAGTTGCAATTGTCGCCCGGAGGTTACTGCTGTTGCTGGGCACGACGGCGGGTAAGGACTAAGCTCTGTCGCGTCAGCACTCGCTGACACACGCTGATCGAGTCGCCATTAGCAAGGTCTATATAAGTACTTATATAGACCTTGGACATTAGTCGGCACAGGCCGGGCTCCCCCTTAGCCCGGGCGAGGCTCAGCTTCGCATATCGGACGTATCCTTATCCTTACACACACACACTATGTGTGTGTCCTTCCTTGTCTCCCTTCTTCGCTTTTCTTCCCTCCTCTTTCTCTCCCCTTCCTTATATCCTTCCTTCATTTTCTCGCTCCTTCTCTTTCTCCCTCCTTCTGTTTCTCACTCATCCACTTTCACTTTTCTTTGTCTATCTTTCCTTTTCCTCCTTTGGTTTATCACTCCTTCCCTATCTCCCTTCTTCGCTTTTTCACTCTTCCCCTAGCTTCCTCCTTCGCTGTCTCACTCCCTCCCTCGCGTTCTCACTCTCTCCTTCGCTATCTTACTCCTTCCCAATCTCCCTCCTTCGTTTTCTCACTCCTTCCCTATCTCCCTCCTTCGCTTTCTCACTCCTTTCCCATCCCCTTCATTCGCTCTCTCACTCCTTCCCTATCTCCCTCTTTCGCTTTCTCATTCCTTTCCTGTCTGCCTTTTTCGCTTTCTCTCTCCTTTCCTATCTCCCTCCTTCTCGTTCTCACTCCCTCCTTCGTTTTCTCACTCCTTCCCTATCTCCCTCCTTCGCTTTCTCACTCCTTCCCTATCTCCTTCCTTCGTTTTTTCACTCCCTCCTTATCTCCCTCCTTCGCTTTCTCATTCCTTTCCTGTCTGCCTTTTTCGCTTTCTCTCTCCTTTCCCATCTTCCTCCTTCGCGTTCTCACTCCCTTCCTATCTCCCTCCTTCGCTTTCTCACTCCCTCCCTATCTCCTCCTTTCTCGCTCCTTCGCTTTCTCACTCCTTTCCCATCCCCTTCATTCGCTCTCTCACTCCTTCCCTATCTCCCTCTTTCGCTTTCTCATTCCTTTCCTGTCTGCCTTTTTCGCTTTCTCTCTCCTTTCCTATCTCCCTCCTTCTCGTTCTCACTCCCTCCTTCGCTTTCTCACTCCTTTCCTATCTCCCTCCTTCGCTTTCTCACTCCTTCCCTATCTCCCTCCTTCGCTTTCTCACTCCTTCCCTATCTCCTTCCTTCGCTTTTTCACTCCCTCCTTATCTCCCTCCTTCGCTTTCTCATTCCTTTCCTGTCTGCCTTTTTCGCTTTCTCTCTCCTTTCCCATCTTCCTCCTTCGCGTTCTCACTCCCTCCCTATCTCCCTCCTTCGCTTTCTCACTCCTTCCCTATCTCCCTCCTTCGCTTTCTCACTCCTTCCCTATCTCCTTCCTTCGATTTTTCACTCCCTCCTTCGCTTTCTCATTCCTTTCCTGTCTGCCTTTTTCGCTTTCTCTCTCCTTTCCCATCTTCCTCCTTCGCGTTCTCACTCCCTTCCTATCTCCCTCCTTCGCTTTCTCACTCCCTCCCTATCTCCCTCCTTCGCGTTCTCACTCCCTCCCTATCTCCCTCCTTCGCTTTCTCACTCCTTTCCCATCCCCTTCATTCGCTCTCTCACTCCTTCCCTATCTCCCTCTTTCGCTTTCTCATTCCTTTCCTGTCTGCCTTTTTCGCCTTTCCTATCTCCCTCCTTCGCTTTCTCACTCCTCCTTCGCTTTCTCATTCCCTCCCTCCTTCGCTTTCTCACTCCTTCCTATCTCCCTCCTTCGCTTTCTCACTCCTTCCCTATCTCCTTCCTTCGTTTCACTCCCTCCCTCCTTCGCTTTCTCATTCCTTTCCCGTCTTCCTTTTTCGCTTTCTCTCTCCTTTCCCATCTTCCTCCTTCGCGTTCTCACTCCCTCCCTATCTCCCTCCTTCGCTTTCTCACTCCCTCCCTATCTCCCTCCTTCGCGTTCTCACTCCCTCTTTCTAGTTTTTTTTTTTTTTCTTTTTTTCTTCTTCCTACCTTGGAAGAAACGGAGACGAGAAGAGACAATGGTAATTCTTCATGGCACGAAAAGCGACCTGCTCGGCAACACACCTTCCCTCCCCACTTTTCCTCCGTCTTCGCGTCTGGAGGAAGAGGAAGAGGAGTGAGAAACGATATAGCCGCAGGAGGAGAAGGAGGCTAAAGAAGAAGAAAAAAAAGAAGAAAGAAAAAAATATATAAGGCCGATTTTCCTCGTAACGCTTGTGAAGCGGCTTTCACATAGAAAAGAAACAACACATATGGTGTATTTTACGTTGTGACTTTCCTGTTGTGTGTGTGTCTCGATCTGTTTTTTTTTTTTTTTTTTGTC